AATAATTGCTCAATTTATATTACAAATTGAGCACCCTGTTATTTTAAGTCACAGATACAGGCCACAAGGCAGCTGTCAATACTATTTAACATATGTGTGATAACTGGAGGTCATTAAGCCCCACCAAAGACTTTGTCATGTTGTCCCTTTAGTAGCTAAACATCTTTGCTCGCTCACCTCCTTTAGTCGCTACAGTATTAAACAGCAAAAGGCACAACAGGTGCCACTAGCCAATGTTGGAACATGGTATTGAATTGTGACTCAGACCCCGCAAACACTAAATGTTACATTTTTAAAACACCTGATTGGGACAACCCCAGTCCTGAGAGTTAAAGAGGCTAGAAATGCATATGCATACACATGTAATGAACTACAGCCTTTAATTATAGAGCCGTCAGGTGTCAAACAGACCAGGAACACATGAGGATTAGAAGAAACTATGACCTTCTGCTAGACATTGTGGCGTGAGCAGAAGCGTTTCATCACAGCACCGTGAAGTTTGCTTTCATCTATCAGAACTTAACAAAACTGGAGCTGACTTGTAACCCTGACATGCTTCTCATAACTTATCCCTTTACAGTAGTTATGAGGAATTCCTTTATTACAAATGTTTATAGCAAATTTTAAACTACAGCTCTATTTAAAACCTATAAATAGCCTATGTAGCATTAATAAATGGACAATAAATCCTTACTTAATGTTTTAAAAAGCCAAGAGTACATTTTTTAGATTTTATACCACTTGTTTTTGGAGAAAATATCTACTGTGACACAATATCATGTACTTTTTTTTTTTTCTAACCCAACACCTGAAAACATGACAGCCGTCATATTTTATTGAAACTGAAACTTGCATGTCTTGTGATTCTGGCAACCCGATGGGGAAGTGAAGACCACCTGATTGTGCCGTTCTTTGACATTAATGTCTCTCTTGTCACCTGCTCTTCCCCCTCTCAGAATCATCTTCATCAGAGGGGCTGTAATCAGCGTTCTCCTCCATGTTTCCTCTCTGCTCTGACACATCCTCCTCCTCCTCCAAATCACTTTCTAATCTCAGATGATCAGATCAATAGCCTTTTGCGATAACCTCAGTCACTAAAAATGACAGATCAGGTACTTTGAAATTCTAATAGACTCCCAAATTTTCCTTTTATCTGAGTTAGCTCAGAATTAATGAATTCTAATTTGTATATTTTTAGAATATTTTGTAATATCCTGGAACAGCCTCAATGTACAAAAATTACAAAAGCATTTTTATGTATTTTGGGCCACTGAAACAACGACATGTAGGGTATTTTAACCACTGTTCATTGTCAAAATGGGCCAAATTTGACCTAAACAGTACATAAGGATTCATGCTAGAGCATTGGTAGCACAAAAGCTAACTCGGCTGTTGGGTTAAGAGTGGACTCGATGTTCTGACAGGCTGGAGATGTGCAGCCTGTACAAACGATAATTTACCATGATGAAAAACAAGAGGTAATTAGCCAACCACAGCCACTTAGAGTCACTACCACCTACTACTGCACAGTCCACTACTTTATGTAACACGTAAAAAAAAAAATGCTCAAATTTTCTGCTTTCAAGCATCAAAAAAAACACAGAAAAACATCCAGAACCTTTCAACTTGATAATCCCCAAGAAGCATTAAACATAAATTCAACCTGCACATTAAAGGGACGGTCCAACTTTTAGGGTTAACATCACACTTTAGACCTCTTTATCAAACCACAGCACACTTTGCAAGTCCACAAACCTCCGAGTACTTGATGTGCATCAGGATAAAACACTATAATTCAGCAGCTACATATTTCAACTCAAGTTTTAGCGCACTTTCTTCTCCGAACACCGTGTCCCAGCTGCTGTTCCTTTCTGTCTGCGCGGTGTATTTAGTTTGCGCTGTGGGTGTCGGGTGTCAAGCATCAAGTGCATTATGGTAAATGACACGGCCGACACTAATAGCTGTGGGGTTTTTACTGCACAGAGGAATATTTTTTGTGTAACCTAAAGAGGTTTTAGGGCACAGCAACGGAAAATAAAAATGAATTTTGAGTAAAAAAGTGGTCATCGGGTTTTATCTATCAAGCATAATCAGCATTTTTGTTAATTTAATCATCACTAATATGAAGAAAATGCGTTTTTCTGTCAAATATTGCAGACGCAATGCCTCTACTGTACATTTAAATAAACTCATCAATGCTCACCGAACAACAAACGTCTAATTCTTGTACTTGAAGAATTTCTAAGTCCACAAAACCTGCGTGAGTAATGAGTTAAAAGCCAAGTTAGTCTCAGTGTGAGAAGGTTGTAGGAGCAGCTGCACGAAGGCAGACAGCTTTGAACAAAAAGCCTTACTGGGAGTTTTAAACCCCCTGAACGCCGGTGGCAAACACAAGCACGAGGCACCGAGTGATAAGTACAACATAATGAACACTGAAAAAGAGCTTGAAAGGCAGCAAAGGAGATGAGAAGACGCACAGTAAAGAAAACAAGATTAAAGACATTCAAAGGAAAAAAAACAGAGAGTTGGTTTTTATCTCGCCGTAGTGATCAGACACGTAATGTGCTCAGGGGATGCTTTTATCTGACGAGTTTGAAAGTCTGCGCTGCTCCACAACAGAGAAGAAAGGACGTCGAGGAATCGATTCGCCACGAAAATCATTTGGTAAAGACGGAGATAATCGATCTCATCAGACACGTAACCACGCGGTTGGATTCAGGCAGAACAAAGACAATCACCAGCATGTGAGACGACATACGAGAACGGGTAAAACTAATAGAATTGCAGCTATCTCTGGCTGTATTAGAATTGATTTAGGTCATTACAATCTTGCAAAACAATCAACTAATCAATCGATTTAGACTGTGTTTGTATTGCACGAATGGCTTCATGGCAAGTTTTCTGCAACAACATAACGGAGGATGATTGCTTCAGTGTTTAATTTATGTGATTTGTCAAACACACACATTAATATCTGGTTCTTGTCTCTCTTTTTTTTGCAAAATTGGATTTTCAGAACATGTTCTGCATTACAGCATAAAGATGAATGACAAATTAAACGACGATTTTGCCTCCCTGAATCCGAACAGCCTCAGAGCTCCTTTTCAATTAGTTAATTCGCTATTAATTAATTCTCCCAGGAGCAACAGTAATTCATTTAAAAGATATAATGGTGGGTATCGCTGTGTAACACACTTGCTCTCCCGGCCGCTCAGTGCTGCGTGAAGGCCACATCGAATGATTCACTTCCTTTACGTGCTTATCAAATTCATTCGGTGTGCCTTCGTGTCATTTCTGAAAGCGTCTACACGTTCTTCCACTTACATATAATAAGATTCTTGCTTTAATTGGTGGCCGGTCAGTGTATTGTAAGCAGAAAATTACATGTGCTGTCCCAGGTTTATCCATATCTCCACCGATTATGTTTCAGCAGCGACACATGTGAACTGACAGGTGCACACCACAGCTTTTTTTTTTGGGTGAATTGCGACAAACCTCTAACAACAGCCTCCAATTTTTTCATAACTACTCTCTTTTGAAAGACGGAAAGCCAATTTTCTTCCCACAGTGGGGTGACAGAGGCTCATATTCACGTTCATATTCTTGAAGATATTGTGGGGCAACAAGGCCTCTGCGAATTTCAAGATTTACAGAAATCCTATAACCTCCGGGGCACTGTATTTTTCTTTCAGTTTTTAATCTAGCGTTGGGTGCCGCAGTGCATTCTCAACACAATCATTCCCGGCACTTGACATTCAGCAAACACAACGGTATTGTCTCTAACCTCTATAAATGTGGACCTGAGTCCTCGTGCAAACCCTTGACTCTTAACATGCTATGGAAAACAGACATGAATACTTCCAAACATTTGGATCGACACACTACGCGGTCACATGTACCCCAGAAATCCAGAAACCATCAAAAGCATTCAAAGCTCTTATTATACACCTCAAAGAAGCTGCCCAGACAATATCAATTGTACTTTTCATTGCATGGTTTGGCAGTGGCCACAGGTTAACAGGAAAAATGTCTGAAGTATTACGTCTAATATCACTGAGAAGAGTCTCAGTGTCTCCTACAGCTTCACGACAGCTCGTCTTTTGGAGCTAAATACAAATTCCAAGTGTCTTTTGGTTGGTCTCGCGGCTCCTGAAAGGATGGCAGCTTGTCACCGTAAACCGCCACATGCTTTGTCAGTAAGAGAACGGCTCTCCTGGGGTTTTGCACAGCTGGAGCTTCGATAACATTATGCCACAACACAACTCCGGAAAACAGCGTTGTATTATAAACAGTAATGGTCTTTCCCAGTTTTGCTGCCATGTATTTGCTTGCTCACTTGCTTGGATATATTACAGACACATACATGTGCATTGTTTGGTTAGTTTATACGTGTAGATATCTTCAATGCGCACTCTTGGTTAAGTCTGTGAATATTTTCATGGATGAGACAAAGGATTAGCATAATTATCTAATTCTTTTGTTGTTGATTTATGTTAAAAATCAATGTGATCCTTGGCCAGCTGGGATGGACAAACGGGTAGGTTGTCCTGGAAGTGTTTTTTTTTTTGCTTATTTACATGCATACTGCTGTGGTTCACCGCGTCAGGGGATTAGAAGGTGGGAGTGGAGTGGGTTGGTTGAAGGGAAGACGAAAAAGACGGGTTGGAAAATGAAATTATTGTGTTTTATCTCGCTGATTATGCACAAAAAAAATAGGTGATCACAAATAGGCCCTTGCAGCAACAATCTGGTATGAATTTGAGCTTGAACGCTGACTCGTTATCACTCATCACACAGAATTAGTGTTTCGTAGTCGTGAAACTATCTGTAGTTATGATCTGTATGCTGCAGAACAACTCACCCTCCAGCAGGACTGCCGCCGGTGTTTCCCGTTGTTGTAGGTGTGACTGTGCGCGTCACTGAGCGTCAGAGAGATGAAGTCCTTTCTGGAAGGTGAATACATCCTCTAATCGGGGCAGACAGTCATAGGTCATAGAACCTGCAGTCAGAAAGCAAAACACAAGATATTCTTCAGTGAAAGTCACGTTTTTACAGTGAGAACATGAACATATGGAGGTTGTTACATGCTGGGAGAAACATCTTCAATGAAACAAGCAGTCAACACCACACCTGAAACTTCAGTGTAGTCATGACAGTCTCAAAAACACTGATTCAGACTTTCAGATTTAGAATATATATGGATGAATTACTCCAATATTACAACTTGCTATTGCAAAGCGTAGTGCTGTCAGTGGGGAATAAAACTGGTTCATTAAAGCTATTTTCACAACAGGATTTGTTACACTCCAGCGCACAGAGCAGGTAACGTAATACGGGACCCATTCAAATCATATTACGCAGTTTTCCGCCCCACAAAAGGTGGTTGCATGCCCCACATTGTGACTCGAGTGTTATTCATGCATCAAAATAACTTGATTCCATTCACAACGGTTGTATTTTAAAGCTTAAGATTACACACCTCATGTGAAAACTGTGTCGTCATAACGTGTAAATACGCACACTTTAATGTCTGTGGTGACAGCAAAGGTTTGTCTTTGTGGAATTCAACCTTTCTTGTAGCCAAATAATGAAAAACAAACAAATACAAAACTTTGGCATGACATTTAGGATGATGGTAAGCAATGTTACAGTCATGTGTCTGCTGTTTAGGCTGTACGTGTACATTAACCAACCACTTTTTGACAGCTGGAATACTGCACAAAACAAGTTGAACTGGTTCTTTAACACAAGTCCAAATGGTACAAACTAGATGGATTACACTCCAGCGCACAGAGCAGGTAAAGGAACAAAGAGGCAGGTTCAAGGACCAACTCAAATCATATAATGCAGTTTTTCACTTGACACAAAGTGACTGCAGGGTCCACACTGTGGCTGAAATGTTATTAATACTTTAAAATGACTTCATCATGAATGGATTTCCTGAAGGTTATATTTTAAAGATTAGGATTGCATGGTCCTTTATTTTAGCTGTAAAGCTCAGTTTATTGGCGTCTACAGCTGCTTTTATCCAAATCAAATAGTCACAATGAGCAAATACACATAACTTTATGTCTGCAGTGAGAGCAAAGGCTTCTCCTTGTGAATCTAACATTTCTGGCAGCTAAACCCTCATCACCAAAAAAATGTTCGGCATGACATTCAGGATGACGAGTGGAAAAACTCTAGTCATGCCTCTGGTGTTTAGGCTGTATGTTTAGCATGTAACTGACATGATTTATGGATGAGGTTTATATATAAAATGCAGAAATTGCCTCTTTTTTTATTTATTATTGTTGCTGTTGTTGCTAATTTTGAATGATTTTGAATTTTGAATGCTGTTGTTGTTGCTGATTTTATGTTGGTGTTGTGTTGTTTTTTTCTGGTCTAGCAATTTCCCTGAGGTCTTGTACCAAATTGATTAACAAAGTTTTATTCTATTCTAATTCTAATTCTTTTGCAATTATCCTACCAGCTTTCATCTTTGACATATATCCTTGGTGAGTGAAATCAAGTCATTTTGATGCATTAATAAGATCTTAGTCGTTTTGTTGTGGCAGCAACACTTTCTGGCAGGAGGACAACTGCTCAGTATGAGTTAAATTGACGTTTTTAAGCCATTTCAATTGTAAAAACAAGTAAATTGGTTACATTACTTTTTGACAGCGGTTGTGCATTTGCTCTCGATTCTTGTTTTGAGAAATATGTGTAAACAACAATTAAAAGGCTGTTAGCGGACACTCGTAACTTCTAATAGCTCTTATTATCAGGTGCCATAATTTAGCTCAAATGTAGTGATGTTCCTTAAGATAAGGCTAAAAGAGCTAAGCTAAACGGGTTAACTGACGACACATACACTGCTCTGTAAATCTTTCACTTTGTTATTTCAAAAGTCTTCCTACGATCCGGTGACAGTATAGCTATTGTACAAATTCACTCAAATACAAGCAAGTTTCTGTTCACACATTAAAGCTAACGGTACAATTCTCAACACAGCTATTTGACAGCAAGTTATTTAAGCTAACCAGGCAACTATTAGCTACTACTAGGCTACTAAACCCACCTTAAACATAAAATCCAGGTGATAATGGAACCGTGGAGCCTCCGGAACTCACCTTTGAGCTGCTTGGCTCCTCACAGCGACGCTAGTCTCCAAACAGCTGTTAGCCTGCTAGCTAGCAGCGGCTAGCTCGGCTGCTCTGACTCGGTTCTGAATGGAAAAGAGTCGCAGTTCGGATGTCAGAGGGCGGAACGTGAAGCGCAGCCGTCAGTGCGACGGTCACACGGCCCGAACCGCTGCTACATGAAGCGACGGTCGGATTAAACCGGGAGAAAAGCGGCTAAAGTTGAGGAATAAACAAGCGGACAGATGCTGAGGAGAGATGACGAGCGACGACGCGGAGGGTCATGTGACCTGCGCACGTGCTCTCGGAGTGGGAGGTTTAACCCATACACATGTATCATAAAGGCGAGATGTCCCGTCAGCGCAGCCGGCCAATGGAATCGCACGTCCGCACCGGCGGCCATCTTGCCACGGTCCGCTCGCTCATCCATAACACTGTGTTGTAGTGGTGCATGTACTTTTTAAATAACCATAACTTGCTCAATTTTCTACCGATTTTCAAACAGTTTGGTTTGTTATAAACGTCAGAGATGTAGCTATAACACTGCACCTATGGATAATTATGTTACACTTCCTGTCAATTTTGGGATCACCCACTCATTTCCCCCATTGGACCTCAGATAGGTGCAATGAATGTACACACACACACACACACACACACACACACACACAAAAGGTATTATGTCAAATCAATATATGAGCTACTAAAACTCAGCGTACAGAATGGCAGCATGACATATATGTATACTTTTGTAATAGGAATATTACTAATATGACAAACTAATTTGAATTATTACATGTTTAGTTTAAACAAGCAATAATTCAAAATATTGCATTATATTAATAATACTTTTATAAATGTCACATTTATTTGCATAAAAAAAAATAAAAAGTAAAAGATTCCCCTTTACAAATATACATCAAGAAATGCTGCATGTTGAAATCCCCGCCCGGAAGAGAGAACTAGACGACTGTGGAGGTACAGAGATAAGAAATGACTCAAAAAACATAGTGAAATCAGTAATAATGAAGAATATTTATTACATGATAAGGACTAACAATAACTAAAGAAGAATATAAAGTAACGGGAGCCCCGTCCTGTTGAAATCCTCACTTCTGAAGTGCTCACTGCAGAGCAGTGTCCTGCCAACAGCAGCAAAACCCTTCTTAGGGCAGCATCCCACCTTCTCCTCCTCTCTCCGGTTTTGGAAACCTAAAAAAGGTGAGAAATGTACTCAGATACATAAATTATTGTCAACATCTTTAATCCTCATTTCCTTTAATTTTATTCATTATCATTATTATTATTATTTATCCATTATTTATTAATTTTATTTATTATTTTTTTTGCCTTTATTATACATATCTATGGGTTTAACCCTTTATCAGATCAACAGATAAGACTTGTTTGTATTTTTAAAGAGTAGATCATGAAGGTCATACGTGCTTCCGATAGGACTTC